ATCCGCAGCCTCAACCAGCCTCCGCGCACAGCCCCGATTGTCACCGCCGCCTCGCCTCCTTCGACAGCCGACCGCCTCAGCCCCGTCGTCGCCATCCCTTATCCGCAGCCTCAACCAGCCTCCGCGCACAGCCCCGATTGTCACCGCCGCCTCGCCTCCTTCGACAGCCGACCGCCTCAGCCCCGTCGTCGCCATCCCTTGTCGTCGTCGTCTCATTCGCGGGCTCGTAGCCTCGCACGATAGCGTCGTCTCGTTCGACAATATCCCCGAGGCAAGATTCCTCTTACTCAAATCTAAATTTTAGATCCATTATAAATTATATGCATATATTTAGCTGTATTGTGATTAATTGTAGCGTGTATACTATAATATGATTATCTGCGTGGGTTTGTTGATGAATGATAATAATAAATAATATACCGTAAGAAAAAGAATTTATTTTGACAAAAGAATCATTTTAGAATAATTATAATGAATTTATTTTGAAAAGAAAATTATTTATGAATAATTATTATGAGGATTAAATAATTTATCTTGAAAAAGAATTTATTTTGAAAAAGGAATTATTATTTGATCTGCTCACTGCTACTGTACACACACACTGTACTGTTCATAGTCTCCGTACATGTTTTACGATCTTTATTTTAATTTCTTGACATGTTATGATATTATTGCACATGATTGGTTGTATTTATTTACTATTTTCCTTGTTGTGATTGAGAACCATTAGTAGTTCATGACTTAGTGGCTTAGCGCGTCATGAACAAGACTTAGTGACATGTGTGTGCGCTGACTAAATTTAGGAGGTGGACCAGAGATCTATTGTAGGCCATGTTGGTTGACTTAGAAAATTAACCAGAAGAGTTGGAATGGGAAAGTCTTGGTTCATGTAATCGGATATGGTTATTGATGTATCTTCCAGACTCGCACCAGTGTCTTATTTCGGCCTGGGGTTAGTCTGTTAGGCCAGTGAATTGTTTCTTCACGTGGTCAGTGACTTGTTTCGTCACCCGAGTTCTGCTTGAGACCAGGCCGAAATCGGATTGCGTGTAGTCTCCTCTCTGCTTGTTTAACGAGTTTGGATACACTTAGGGGATTTGTGAATAGTCAGTTATCCGATTATATGAGCGTTGACTCTGTGTGAGATATGGACCAATGACATGTTATAGGATGGCTAGTTACATGATCTTGTTACTTGATGATTATTCTGATCGTTATACTCTAGTAGTGGTTTGCATCTAGACTGTTAGAATTCCAGTAGTATGTTTCTATTATTATTACTGTCATTGCATTGGTCCTTCGACCATTTTATTTCTCCCTTATGGGATCTTGCTGTGTGCCATGCACGTTGACGTATACATGTTTTCTCTGGTGTACGTCAGATTTAGAGGACGGACAGGTCCAGTATGGAGATGCATTAGAGCCGGAGTGTCTTCCAGATGGAGCAGAAGAACAATCTGAATCTTAGCCATTTCTTTTCCATAGTTATTGATGGCATAGATTACTTTTGTAGTACTTTCCCTTTTAGTTCAGTTGATGTATTTTATGACTATCCAGTTTCAGTTGTACGTTTTGTATCAGAACATGTTGACTCGTATATGATGTCTTGGATGATATTTCTCTTATGATATGTATCATGTTATTATGGGTTGTTTATTATATTCTTGCTACTGTGATCGGGGACCTGTGACTTTGCTTTATATTGCTTGACGCTTAGCGTATTAGATTGAGTAAAAGGTCAGTACATTTCTCCTCAATCTAATATGTCACGGACTTGTTCACGTTCTGATTCCCCAGTATTTTGAGAAGCGGGGCGTGGTAGACTATTTCATGCGCTATTGTGGTTCGCATTCACAGAGTTCTGGGGTATAATTTGATCAGAACTCATGCGAGATTCATATAAATACACTAATAAAAAAAGTGCAGAGACAACAGCAAGTTGCAATTCAATGGTACGAGTTGCTGTCGTTATTTTTTTAATATGGGGTGTATTTCAGAAAACCCTCATCAACTATTTTAATTTGAGAAATCCCCTCAAGTTCGAGCCTATAGTAGTTAATCCACCTCAGGTTCAAAAACTCAAGAAATCCCTTTGAACTCTTCTCACTTTACACCCTGAAAAGCTAACATTGTTGAGTCTAACATGTCACATGACAAGTATGTGATTAAGAAAAGACTAAAATACCCCTATCATTAAAATTTATTCTGATTTTTTTAAGATAAGAGAAAGAGAGGAGAAAGAGGAGAATTGCATTGTATATTGATCTAGATTTTTTTCCCGGTTGGGGTTTTTTTTAACTGAATGCATTGATTTTCAAAAGGGTATTTTAGTTATTTTACATTTTAAAATGACGTCGAGAGGAGGGGGTTGGTTTTGGTGAGAAATGTGTGAAAGATTCGAGGGTTTTGTGAGACACCGCATAGATGAGGGGAGTTTTCTCTAATTTTTAAAGTTGGTTAGGTTAACTATAATATGCGCAAATTTTGAGGGGGGTCTCATGAGACATCTGTCATAGTTGAGGGGTTTTTCTAAAACTATCCTAGTACCATATATGTAAAATTATACATTTGTCACATTATATTTAAAGTTGATGGATTAGTCTACTTATTAAAATATTATTGACTAATCGATCAATTTTTTTGTTATTTATTTATTGGTTTTGATATCCCTACTTTATTTAATATTTTCTAACAATTAGATTGAAATTCTAATAGGTTCTTAAAATTATTCTAAAAATAAGTATTTGTATTCTTAAGTTTATTGTATGAATATTTTAAACCTTTATACTTATCTAATTACAACGTTCTACTTGATTGCTTCATGTTGTAAGATTTAACTCAATGTATTGCTTAGTTCATACCAAATCTTAAACATATACTTGATTGCTTCATGTTGTAAGATTTAACTCAATGTATTGCTTAGTTCATACCAAATCTTAAACATATGGGTTTCAAGTGACTTTTCTTTAGCTCTTTTAAATAAGTCATCTAATTTAAATTTTAAATTTTAAAATAAAAGACATGCACACCCTTATTTTGTATTTCCTATATAGGGGGGAAGAACACCCGGTCAATTTATGCAATTTTGAAGGAGCAATAGCTCAAAGAAATAATTTTTTAGAAGCACGGGCATAACCAAAAAAGAAATTTATTGATAACAAAGAAATTGGATATAGAAACGAATGAAACCAAACTCATCCGTGCGAACATGGGCAAAACACTTGTATAAAGATAATATTGATTTAATGAAAAAAAGGCATCGGGGACAGGTATCATGTATTCTTTAGTAAATATATGATTTTTTTTCTTATTTAATGAAAAAAAGGCATCGGGGACAGGTATCATGTATTCTTTAGTAAATATATGATTTTTTTTCTTCTTCTTCTTTGACTTCAGACCTGTGAAAATAAACGAGATACATCCACCACACCGCAATATATCGCTCTTATTTCTCTTTCATCGATAGAAAATACCAGCACAAAAATCACTCTTATTTTGCTGCCATCAATAGAAAATACCAACTCGGAGTTCCTTATTATGCTAATAACTATTACAATAATGCCAATCTCGTCACCTCTTGTAGTTCAATTCTCCTGAAATGATCTTCTCTCTTCTATCCCTATTGAAAGCGTACAGTTTATCCTTAGGAGGCAACGCCTCCTTCACCGCCTCCACGTCCAAGAACGCGTTGAACCACGCATTGATCAACGGCAAGTTCCCGTCGCTCAGTATGCTGACTCCGGCGAGATCTTCGATCATATGAAGCCAGTAAGGAATCCAGCCGGCGATTATGTCCACGTATCCGATGTTTTCGCCCCCGAAGAACTTCTTCCCCTTGAGAGCCTCTTCGAGTGTCCTTAAGCTCTCTTGAACCTCTATGACGGCCTTTTGTAGCTCCTCTCCGGTCTTAAAATAAACTTGGTAGATTGAAGGCAAGCACTGGGAGGAATCATATATACAAAAAAAAAGGACGTTCAGTATTTAATTTCGACCAAATTAGTCTACAACACATATACAAGCTTTAAAAAATAAAAAAAGGACGTTCAGTATTTAATTTCGACCAAATTAGTCTACAACACATATACAAGCTTTAAAAAATATTGGAGAGGCCACTTCCTTAATCATTATACAAGCTTTAAAAAATATTGGAGAGGCCACTTCCTTAATCATTGTTGATTGGTGGAGTCACGTGGGGGGATCACAAGATCCAGCGGTTTTTTGTGAGGCCACAAGTTCAGCCGCATCCCAAACCGCGTGAAGAGCAAATGAAATGGTTCATGTGGGGGCCACCTTCATGAAGCTAACGCGTGAAGTGCTGGATTCTCGTGGGGGCCACAAAGCACGTGAAAGGGAAGTTCACGTGAACAAGAATTCATGAGGAGAGAAATTGTTCAGTGGACAAAAGCCGAGCCCACCCGATTGCTTGCTGCTTATAAATACACATTGGTTTCTAGGTTTTTTGTTTGCCATGCAAGATTGAGAGGAGGAATTAATTGGCGGCTGCAGCAGTGCAATTTTGAGGGGGTACATCGGCGTGCAAAGGCAGAGGTGCAAAAGTGTTGGCAGCGTTCTTTTTGGGCGGCGTGCAAAGAGTCCTTTTGTGCTTTTGAGAGAGAGAGATTGTTTGAGGGTTTAGATTGAGTGATTGTAAACCCTAGTTGTATCTCTCACTCTAATAGTAGATCTCCCCCTCCTTGCCCCGTGGATGTAGGCAGTTTGTCGAACCACGTAAAATTGGTTTGTTTGTGTTTGTGACTATTGTAATAGTTTTTTAGGATGCCTCGACAAGTCAGTCCTAGAACTGATGAGAGGAAGAGTCGATATCTCACTTTGTTGAGATATTCGCTTCAGATTCTTGTTACCTTGGTGAGACGGGAATTCTTATTGATCTTTCTCTCTTATTGTGCACCAGAAACTCTGCCGAAATTTTCGTTGCGCACAACAAGTGGTATCAGAGCTCGGGCTACGCTTGGGTTATTTGGATGAGTAGATCGATTTGAAAGCTCGTCTAGGGCTTTGTTTGGTGATAAAAGTGGGATCTTTTGGTAAAAGACTCTATCTTTTTAGTTTTGGATCTATTCTTCGTTCGTTTGTGCGTTGAGAAAGATGTCGGGGAAAGAATGTGCTTCGGGTGTCAAGGGTGGTGCTTCTGGCGCGAAGACCATTCAGAGTTTGAATATCCACTCTATGAAGATAGATGTGGAGAAGTTTAATGGCACAAACAACTTGGATTATGGATATGCGAGGTTTTGGATGCGCTGAACGCGTAGAATTTGGAGGATACCTTGGAGTTAGATGGCAAGCCGGATGATATTGAAGAGAATGTTTGGAAGAAAATGAATCGAACGGCGTGTGATGTGATTAGGTCTTGTTTGACTCAAGATCTAAAATATGATGTGATGGATGAGACTTCTGCGAAGAAGATTTGGGAGATTCTCGAAAGAAAGTATTTGACAAAGAGTGTTGAGAACCGCTTGCATTTGAAGAGGAGACTTTATCGTTTCCAGTTGAAGAATGGAACCTCAATTAGTGATCACATGAACACCTACACAAAGCTTCTTGCGGATTTGACAAATGTGGATGTCATAATTGAAGATGAGGACAAGGCGTTGCTATTGTTGAGTTCCTTACCCGATGAGGAATATGAGACCTTCGTTCTTACTCTGATTAATGGGAAGGCATCTCTTTCGTATAGTGAGGTGACTGCTGCACTTGTGAACTATCAGCTTCGAAAGAAGGATAAAGAGGCTTCAGTTGAGCCGGTAGCAGAGGCGTTGGTCGTAAGAGGGAAGGGTCCAAACCGGAAGAATTGGAAGTCACAGTCTAGAGTAGGACATCCTACAATTAGAAAAGATCAGTGTGCTTGGTGCAAGGAGACTGGTCATTGGAAGAAAGATTGTCCAAAACTCGACGAATGAATGAAGAATAAGCAGAAAGGAAAAGGGAAACAACCATCATCAGAAGCAAACATCGTTATATCGGATGGTAATAATTCTGACTCTTCTATTTATTGGCTTTCTATCAGTCCTACAGATAGCTATTCGGAGGAATCTGAATGGATGTTAGATAGTGGTGCGACCTATCATGTGTGCCCTAGAAGGGAATGGTTCTCCAGTTTTGAAAAATTGGATAGTGGTGTGGTATACATTGCTGATAACCGTGCATGCCAGATCCTTGGGATAGGAAGAATTCGCATCAAGATTTTGACGGGACTGTTAGGGAGTTATATGATGTGAGATATGTTCCTTCCTTGAGGAAGAACTTGATCTCGATTGGAGCTTTGGTTGGAGAGGGTCTGAATGTTCGAATTGAGAACATGGTTCTCAAGATTGTGAAAGACTCTCGGATTGTGATGAAGGACGTCAGGAGGAATAACTTGTATTACTTGACTGGAGGTATAGTGACAGGTGGAGAAATAACGACTTCTATTGATTCGACTAGACTGCAACATTTAGGGCTTGACCATTCCAGTATTGATTCCTCGCATAGATTAAAATAAGGTGTGAAGACCTACAGTTTGAAGTCCAGTGAACATGTTGATGTGAGCAAGAAGACCGAGGTGAAGTTTGGCACCTCCATTCACCGTGCTAAGGATCGTTCTGGAGGAGTTCACGTGGATGTTTAGGGGCCTTCCAAGGGGACATCATTGGGAGGTAATAGGCATTTGGTTTCCTTTGTTGGTGGCTGTTCTAGGCGTGTTTGGGTTGCAACCAAATCCCCATTGGAGAAAGTCCTAGTAGTCTCTAACAGTTTGAAGAAGTGTAAGATGGACAGAAAGGTGAAGGTACTTTATTCTGATTTTGTTGGGAGGTACAAGATGGACCTATTTCTGTATTTGAGCCGAGCTCACGGTATTTCGAGACACTTCGTTGGAAAGGAAATCTTGGCGTAACGAGATAGGGTGGCAAATTTAGAGAACCGTGCCTTGCTGGAGGAGGATCGGTGTTTGTTGTCAAGCAATGGTCTGCAGAAGAGTTTCTGGACTGAGGCTTCAACATATTCGAGCCATCTTACTAAAGAGTTGTCAACTGCTGTGATAGGAGGTAAAACTCAATTGGGTGTTTGGTCTGGTAGTGTCACTTCGGTTGAGGCTTTGATGAGGGAGCTATTTGACTCTCAGCAGATGGAGAGTTTTGGACAGACCTTAGATGTATCACAGCGGGTGGAGAGGGATGTTACTCCACATTGGGTGAAGATTACTCCAGATCATACTGTATTGTTTAGGATTCCAACTGAGGTGACACAGCTTAGGGATCACTTGGATTTAGGTGCAGATGATGAGTTGGGTTTTGATTCGAGTGCAGCTGGCAAACATAGTTTGGATATGGCCATTGGTTCACTTCAGGTGGAGGTGTTTGAATCCATTGGAGGTGCTATCAGCCGCAGAGTTGATGATATTGAAGAAGGGTTGCGAACTCTTCTATTCGATTGAGGTCGTTCACGGCCATTTGGGTGAACTACGTGAGGCTTGATTCCTTGGGCAAGATGATACGTGGACAGTCATTTATGATGCAGCCGATTTGTGGGTTGATGCCAATATTTGGAGAGTGATTACATTCTCGTTTGGGTTCTTGACTTGTTGTGTATTGAGTCCGTTATCGTGAATTATTTCACTTCGTACAGGACGTAATAAGTGAGACATTTGGTTTGGTTGGTGTCGGTTTAGTTTTGGGAAAACTTCACCGATGTGGAGAATTATTGATTGGTGGAGTCACGTGGGGGGATCACAAGATCCAGCGGTTTTTTGAGAGGCCACGAGTTCAGCCGCATCCCAAACCGTGTGAAGAGAAAGTGAAATGGTTCATGTGGGGGCCACCTTCATGAAGCTAACGCGTGAAGTGCTGGATTCTCGTGAGGGCCACAAAGCACGTGAAAGGGAAGTTCACGTGAACAAGAATTCATGAGCAGAGAAATTGTTCAGCGGACAAAAGTCGAGCCTACCCGATTGCTTGCTGCTTATAAATTGAGAGGAGGAATTAATTGGCGGCTGCAGCAGTGCAATTTTGAGGGGGTACGACGGCGTGCAAAGGCAGAGGTGCAAAAGTGTTGGCAGCGTTCTTTTTAGGCGGCGTGCAAAGAGTCCTTTTGTGCTTTTGAGAGAGAGATTGTGTAAGGACCGTGAAATTTCGATACTAGTTAAAATACTTTTTTGGTATTTTAAAATATTTAATTATGATTTTAAAGGAGTAATTATATTTTTCTTGAATTTTTACAATTTTTTATGATTTAAAGTCCAAGCTTTATATTTATTTAAATGATATTAATATTTATAAATTAATTTTATGCGGTGAAAATTTCTGAAATTTATCCGTTGAGTTACTGATACTATTACGTATCATTTTGGATAATACGTGGTATTATGTATATTTTTGTATAATACGTTGTATTATTAATTACGTATTATTTGTATAATTTGTTGTATTATTTCTTCTGTTACATATTATATGTCGTATTAGTATAACTAGTACGTCTTACTGTGTACGTAATTGTCTCATAATTATATGATTTTAAATGTAAGTAAATATATTTTTATTATTAATTATTTCTGTTTAATTGTACAATATGAGTATATTTTGACTATTCCGTATCAACTGTTATATTAGCACAACATGTACGCTTTTATTTGTAGATAATTATTCTGTAATTAGTTTAATTTTTAAGTACCCGAAATTATTTATTATAATTATTTTTGTTTTAATTATATAACCCTAAACCCTAATTATTTGTGTGTGTGTATATATATATATATATACACATCTTTCTCTCTCTCTCCTTCTCTTCTTCCCCAAAACGCAGCCGCCGCCTCTCCGAACCGCCTCCAGATCCCGACTCCCGCTCGACCACTACCAACCGCCGGAGCTCGAAGCTCTCTCTCAGCCGAGCCAAGCCGACCCCCCCCCCCTCTCCGGCCTCCTTTCCCTCGCGCCGCTGCCTTCCCCAGCACCCTCTCCACCTCCTGCAGCCGCTCCGCTGCTGCACCGCCGCTCACCGATGACCACAACCCCCGACGCCTTCACCACCGCAGTCACCTCGTCGACAGCCCCAGCCCCAGGTCGTCGCCCATCCACGTCTCCGCCGCTCGTCATCAGACCCCTTGGTCTCGTAGGCAAGATCCCATTACTTATTGACTTGTCATTTTAATATCTATATCTGTTAGTAATTGGTTAATTAGATTAGTATGTGATATATTATTACCTGCGTGGGATTGCTTGACATGAATAGCTGTGTGGAAGCTTGTTGTGTTATCACTTAGTTGTTATCCAATAGGAGAGACTATACATGAAGACGACTTCTGTTAAAAGTATGATTTGTAAGCGTGCTTCAAGCATGGCTATACTCACTCGACATCGATATCTCGATGTGAGGAGTCCCGAGTTCCCTCGATATCGATATCCCGATATGAGGTTGCCTTGATTATTATTATTATTATTATAGCATTGACTAGACGATACACTCTTGATCGGACGTGTTACGGTTATTTTTATAGTTTTACAGAAATCGTTCCATGGTAACTCCGTGGCTAGTGCACAATATTTCATGTACAGTTGCGTAATTAATATGACAAACTTGGGGTTATAAAGAGGAATTGGACGGAGAATATAACATGTATATAAACGGGCACAGCGCTTTCCTGTTATCGTGATATCGTGAGTGTTATATATATGGGCCAGATGGCCAATACTTGACTTGAAGGCGGCCCCCGGACAGGTTTACGGGGACCCGATTATATACATCAAAATATTCTTCCCCAATTCAAATAACATGTAAAACAAAAATAACATGCTTGCGTGCTTTATGGTGGACTTTGTTAGTTTTGTTGAGATGTAGACCAGTGTTGCTCTTTTCATACATAGATCGGGATTAATATTTAATTATTTACAATTCGAGACATATGGTATACACATGAGGGTTTCCTTGTTTGGATTATTTCGCTCGACGTACTACGTCTCGAGTTGTAGATTTTTAAGTATTAATTCCATCTAGTTGTATGACCTTGTGACTTGTGTGATTGTTTCTGATCGCTAGCTGCATGGCCTCATTACCTGTTCGATTTTTGGATTCTTCTGATTATCATGTTTTAGTAGTGTTATCGCATGTCGGTTTTGTTGGATTTCCAGTTGCACGTTCTTTTATTATTTCTGTTATCGTATCGTTTTCTGCTTGGGTTTTCGTTCGCTCTATTTGTTTTGTGGGGTCTTGCCGTGTGTCATACACGCTGACGTATACCTGTTTTCTCTGGTGTACGTCAGACTTAGAGGAAGAATAGGTTCAGCTGGGAGATCGCCAGGAGCCAGAGGATTCTCAGCAGGAGTGCCTTGCAGACTTCTTTTTATTTATTAGTTGATGGTTCCAGTTACTTTTGTAGTTCTTTCTATTCCTGCTTGAACGATGTATTTTGTGTCTCTTAAGTATTCATTTGTTCATTTTGTATAAGGATATGTTGGACCCATATTTTCATGTTTGGGATGATTTACTGTTGATGATACATCTATTTCTTATTCTGGGCTGTCCTTATATTCTTGCTATTGTGATCGGGGACCTGTGACTTTGCATTGTATTTATTTCCAGACGCTTAGCGTATTGGGTTGAGGAGAAATTGTTATTTTTATTTATTCTCCTTAATCTAATACGTCGCGGGCTTGTTCATGTTCCGTTTCCCGAGTATTTTGGGAAGCGGGGCGTGACAGATTGTTTGAGGGTTTAGATTGAGTGATTGTAAACCCTAGTTGTATCTCTCCCTCTAATAGTAGATCTCCCCCTCCTTGCCCCGTGGACGTAGGCAGTTTGCCGAACCACGTAAAATTGATTTGTTTGTGTTTGTGACCATTGTAATAGTTTTTTAGGATCCCTCGACAAGTCAGTCCTAGAACTGATGAGAGGAAGAGCCGATATCTCATTTTGTTGAGATATTCGCTTTAGATTCTTGTTTCCTTGATGAGACGGGAATTCTTATTGATCTTTCTCTCTTATTGTGCAACAGAAACTCTGTCGAAATTTCCGCTGCGCACAACAATCATAACCATACGTATTTTAATAGATAGGTAGGAGGATCATGATGATAATTATGTTTGGGTTGAATCTTAATTGAGATAAATGCAGAATTGTGACCTGGGAATGTAGATTGTATCATCCCCGGCCGCTAACGGCAATCATAGAGACAATTACTTTTATTGTTATGATTCATTTCAAGCGTAGCACCTACTTATCCTCATAGCCAGCACTTATATCACAAAGAAAGTATGGTTTACAAAGCGAAGTTTAGAAAATTTCATTTTAATGAACAAACCATAAAATACGTACCTTGTCTTCTACAAATTTCGCCCAGAACCGCGCTTGTGCGCGTTCAAATGGATCCCTCGGCATGATGCTGTATCCGTCACCCCAAGCCTCGTCAATGTACTCGACGATCACCGACGACTCGGCTACGGCCTTTCCTCTGTGCACGAGCACGGGGATCTTCTGGGTGACAGGATTATACTGCAAAAGCTCTCGGCTCTTGTTATGGGGCAAGTCTTCGTTGATGTACTCATAGTCAACTCCCTTGAGCTTGAGAGCCCACTCTACTCTCAGCGCAAAGCGGCTTGCCCACATCCCAAAAACCTTCACTTTGTCTCCAGCCATCTTGATGTTGCTGTTGAATTAAATGGATTTTTTCTGCCGTTGTAAATTGAGTAAGCAGAGAGGTATTTATACGCGCACATAAGAGTAAGTTTTGTTTATTGGGTTGGTTAGGAGGTTCATGAATGTTCCAGCTTGGAAATTTCAGATGAGCTGCTCAAATTTGACCAGCAGGGATTCCAATAATTACTTAAATAAAACTTTAAAATAACAGATCGATATTATTGAGATAAATTAAGACATGCGAAAAGAAACATAGAAAATTCAGCATAAATAAAAATTAAAGCTACCGAAAGGGACCTATCATCTCCGAGTCAAAATATAATTTAAGTGTAAAGTGCTAGAAACGAAATTTCTGAAAAATAAAATATATTCTAGTATGAAATTAGAGCGAGCATCGTCCCTGGTTCATAAAGAAAGCTCGAGCTTCCGTGTCAAAGTTTACGCTTAAGCGTCAAGTTTCTAATGTTATGAGTCTTATGACTAACTGTGACATCATATCTACTAACTTCGACATCACGCCTTAGGTATCATTGATGGATTTATTTGGAAAACTTGACCCCCAAAAAAAGAATGAAACTATTGAGGTCGTCATCGTTCAACAGTCAACATTTATTCCATTTTCATATGTTCCCGGGTGCACTTTTGTGCATATGAGAATTATTATTCTACAATAAATACATTTTTAAGTTACAACACGTAACTTGTAAAAGCATCTCCAACAGTTTCCCCAAAAATTTCTCCAAAATAGGGAAGCAAAAGTCATATTCTCCAAATTATTTTTGGTCCAACTCCAACAGCTTCCCCATTTTGAAGAATCCTGCATTTATTACAATAATAAAAATATTCTACATTCCTATTTTTGGATGCTCTTATACATTGGAACTGCCCCCATGGTTTTTTTTGTAATTACGAATTTTGTTTTATATTTATTTTCTCCTCCATCCCGTCTTGAAGAACGTGCTGCATTCATGACCAAGCTTTCCCCAAATATTTGAAGAATGCCCCTGATTTGGGGAAGACTCCCCTTTTTTCCTCCTTCATCCCTATTTTGGGGAATGGAATGAGGAATCTGTTGGACCAAAAAAAAAGGCCAAAATTCTCCAAAAGTGAGAATACCAATAAAATGGGGAAGCTGTTGGAGATGCTCTAAAAGGGCCTGTATTATTTTGGACCACTCAACAAGGAAAAAGAGAGAGATCCAGAACTTTTGAGATTGTATCGGGATCTCTTGAGTACAGTAAAAACCAAACTCTTGATGTTATGATCGCCTCTAATCACAAGTTTGACAAGGCCTGTGAGATATTTCGAGATATGCGATCATGTATAGGCTCCTGTAAAATGAAACAATTAAGTTAGTTGTATTGATAAGGTTACTGGAATGCTGAAGTAGGTCGCAAATTTCTACCTCTATGCTTGGTGTCTCAAACTTCGAATTTGTGATTGTTTCATAAAGGAAAATGTACCTGCCATGAGCACCAAAAATATAATGAGATACGGGACTGGCTTTTAACCTAAAGTATACTTTTCTCTTTCCTACTGTGTGAGGAATATATTGCGTACAAAAAAAGATTTGAGGGGATCTTTAGCTGAGCACATGTATGTATTTTCCATCTAAAGTCTTATTTTCACTTTGGTACCCCAAAAGTTCACCCTTTTTCAGCTTAATACCCACACTTAGATACTCCCAAAGTTTCAACCTCATGTCACTTTGATACCCCCATCCAGATTTCAGATTTTAAAATAAAATAAACTGTACTGTAGTGAACAAATTTTTGCTTAACCGCCCCTTATGTTTCTATGCATGATGGATAAAAAAAGATGAGAAGGTACAACAAGACATACCGCCATGCAAGTTCACAAACAAGTTCCTCGGGGGCATCAGGAAGAACCTGAAAGGTCAAAGCAATGGGAAGGAAACTGCTGTTAGTACATCAACAAATGCCTGGAAAAATATAAAATATAAGTGAATACCTTATCTTCATAAGGGTTGCAGTGTTCCTTGAACCAGAGTCTTAGGAATTCCTAAGGAAGAACAAATAAAATTAGGTGTTTAACACATTTTATAAAAGCCACTGCCCACTTATCTAACAAGAGAAGCATTTGACAAGTGGCAAGAAAGTGCAGACCCGACTCTATCAGGTTAATAGGTTCAAATTTCTAAACACAAATTACATACATTTTGCAACACATCAATCACTAAATACCTTATCAACATTCTCAGGCTCACGCCGAGTATTGAAGCGCTCCTCATAAGAATCAGCATCACTAAATACCTTATCAACATTCTCAGGCTCACGCCGAGTATTGAAGCGCTCCTCATAAGAATCAGCAACCCAGTATCTGCTAGAATCAGGGGTATGCACCTAAATCATAGAACAGTAAAACAGTGAGCATGCACAAAATACTATATTGTGGATATCTCGCGGAAAGGTAAATTAACATGCAGTAAAAACGGATTTATGATCTGGAAGAATATGTGCAAACCATTTCCAGTTATTGATTCATATAACCGCATTCCTTGTTTCATTAGGTTTCATGTGAGATGCTGATATTTTTTAAAAAAAATTAAAAATAAAAATAAAAAGTACATAGGATCTCCATGTTCCCTCCATATTCAAATCTTTTGTTGATCAAATTCCAAGCATAATGAAAATCAGTACAAAGCTGCAGGAAGCCAGTCTATAATCTACATATCCAAACACTCATAAAATATGCATGAAAAGTATGGAATTTGTTCTAATGTGACCATTTTTGACAGAGAAAATTAAAGGTATAACAAAAAAAAAAGCAAAAGCAGTACAGTGGTTGTCAAGAGCAAAGCAGCAAGGAACATACACATGTTTTTCAAAAAAAAAAAGCAAAAGCAGTACAGTGGTTGTCAAGAGCAAAGCAGCAAGGAACATACACATGTTTTTCATCATCTTTCTATCTTGAAATATACCAACCTGTCAAGAGCAAAGCAGCAAGGAACATACACATGTTTTTCATCATCTTTCTATCTTGAAATATACCAACCAACAAGAAATGTGGTTCTCCTAGCTATTTTTAAACAACTTTCTAGACACTAACCGCAAATCATAAACAGCATAATTTGGGGAGGCCCCAAGAAGAACTAAAATGAAACACTATCAGTTTTCCAAAACTTTAAAAACGTCTTAAATTACCAATAACCAGTTGCAGAAATGCTAAGAAAAATGGCCTCCATGGATATAACTAGAGTAGGGGCATCAACTATCAAGTATACATAGAATCCTAAATAATAGCCAAGCGTGTTGCAATCCTAAATAATAGCCAAGCATGTTGCAGAATCAAGTTCAGACCTAATTCGAAAACAAGGCTTCTCACTTGATGTCATTAGAAACAATGATTTTAAAAGGAATTGATACTAGTCAACTCTAAAACGAAGAACAGATAAGGTAATGACACGCATTTGAAATATTAGTACATAAAATAGAAGATGGGATTACTATATCCTAAACCAAAGATAGAGAGCAAATGAGTTTCCTAATATCCTAAAGAGAAGATGTATAGCAGATGAGGTCATTGCATATTTGTATTGCTAAGAGCAGATAATATCATCAACGAGAAAGATGGATAAAGATAAACCACAAGATATAGGACAACAAACCTCATCAATCACCATTATTGTACCATCAACATCTTTCCCAAATTCATATTTTGTGTCGACAAGTAAGAGTCCATTCTCCAAAGCTACTTGCTGCAAGAAATAAAGGTATCACAGTTGATGATCTTTTTTATATGATGGATTATGAAAGTAGTAGAACTAGAATGATGTGAACAATCATTCGTCTGGTTGATGATATATTACATCACATTATATAGTCAATAGCACATGGAACAAACAGATGACAGGACATGCATTATAACAGATTCTTGCAAGCGCCTTTTTGGTGCCAAAAAAAAGTTAACAGAATACTTAATCGTAAGCAGGCAATGACACAGATTCTGTACTGTAAAGAGAAAAGTTGTGTAATGAGGACCTATAACTATCAAGAAAGAAAATACCTACCTGTCCGTATGCAAATAAGTCTAAAGCCTTGTTGCTTACTTCAGCATATTCATCTCGACTCATTAAACCAAGCTCAAATATCTGTGTAGATGTAAACATTATAGTATTAAATCAAATATGACTGCTAGCAAAGTATGAAACAAAAAGATAATCTACAGAGGGTCCTCTGGAATGCAAACACCAGAGTTCAGATGTTTAACTACTAAAAAATATGCTCATAAAAAACTCTCCATTGCAAAACTTAACATAGCAATACAATAAGCTTCAGATATTTTTGTGCGAATAACAGTCTACAGAGGATTAGCTATATCAGCCATGAAACAATGATTGCAAGCTCACATCTGTGTTGTCCGATAGGATTTCACCATTAAAAATCCTATTTTTCTCATAGAACTACTAGATGAGTTTCTTATATGATGAAGAATGAACAACTTACAAAAAGACATTAAGTTTAATAAAAATGAATACATCAATTAATTACTACTTATACAAATGGTTTTCTGGGAGCATCAAGTCATAATGGATCTTCTAGTTGTAAGAATTCAATTGTTGTTCAAGGATTCCATTTGTAGACCTGAGTGCCCAACACAAGAGCTCTTTATAAGTATGTACATCAGTAAACCATCTGGCCAGTCAATGTTACTATATACACATTAAGATAAGTAACCTAAGAGGTCATATCTTGTGGTTCTAGAGGAATTGGACATCTGTGTTGTATCAAATACTAATCCTTTCTTGTGTATCAGATTCCCACTGTACCTACTTGATGCTACTACTACCAGGCTCTTCCACAGTCAGAGCACTGGTAGACCTAGAGCGAAAGCCCAGAAGAGATCTGCATCCATACAGTGATTCAGGGCCACAAGATCAGCCCTGCAATTAGTAGTTAGAATCAGTGTGTACTCAACTAATTGATTTAAGTGAATCAAAGCCCCACAAAACTCAAAGTAGACTTTCTTATGCATCTACCAGGCCATTCATATGCTTGTTCAGATGAAGGCCCCACAAAACTCAAAGTAGACTTTCTTATGCATCTACCAGGCCATTCATATGCTTGTTCAGATGAAGGATCATTATTTCTGGTGAGCACCAGAGATATCAGATGTTCTGGTGGGTTGATAATGAGTTAAGATTACAGCACGTAATGATCTTCATGTGATCACCATTTTGTATAGTGGGATCTTGACAGTGAATGTAAGCTTGTTCAAGCTAAGCATGTCAAGCTCATATGCAACATGTTGTATGAGTTTAGTATTTACACATATTTTCTCTAACTTATTTAGCTTTAGATGGTTCTGGTGAAATATATGACTATTTCCGGCTTAGGAGAAAAAAGTCTTCATTTGCTAATTGAGAAATAAGAGGTGGAATGCAGTACCTAGCTCTTGTTTGATTCTATCCATTATACTACAGAACATTGTGCCACTTGCAGTTGGAATCGGATTCTTCAAAATGCAGGATACCATAGTCCTCTTATTTGAGACGTAGTATAACAAAAAATACACTTTAAATTATGGTTCATAACTTCATATCTCCAGCCAGATAACAGTTAAAGAGGAAAAAAGAAACTGTGTAGTAGTTCTATTTAACAAACTTCATATCTCCAGCCAGATAACAGTTAAAGAGGAAAAAAGAAACTGTGTAGTAGTTCTATTTAACAGAAACTTGTCTCATGCAATTTAAAGCATATGGTTTCCAAAAAAGAAACTGTGTAGTAGTTCTATTTAACAGAAACTTGTCTCATGCAATTTAAAGCATATGGTTTCTTGCTAAGTATTTAAGTTAGTAAATAAAATAAATGATCACTGATTAGATGCAGCTTTATTTTGTCATGTAACATATGCTTTTAAACTGACTTGAGAAGAGCTTACAAATCTTTGAGGGCCCAACAACACAGAATACTAAAAAAGGTTAAATTAAGTATATCAGCACAAATATAATTTTATTTAATAAAGGAGGATGCACTGAAAACTTACATCGTCAGGAGACACAGGAACATCATGATCTTCAGATTTCGTTGTGGGTGTGAGTATATTTGTAGGTAGCTTTTGATTTTTTACCATACCTAAAGTTTTTATACGGAACACTTTAGCATTGTGCAACTGTTACTAAGAACTGTGAATTAGCATTTGAAGTAGTTACCCTCAGGAAGCTCATTGCCACAATAACGTCTTGCACTAAGAACTGTGAATTAGCATTTGAAGTAGTTACCCTCAGGAAGCTCATTGCCACAATAACGTCTTGCACCCTTGTTGTAAACTGTCCACAATGATGTATCAGTGCTGCCGGTCACAAAGCCTCTAACTGCAATGTGCATCCAAGCATAATATCAGTTATCAAGGAAGTAGAATAAAGAGAGGGATCATACATAAGTATTGAAGGTAGAGTGGAACAAACAAAGGAAGAAAAAATAATGTACCGACAAAAAAACAAATTCCAGACCCTAACATATTGCAGACACAGGACGTGATGTCCAATTGAAAAACATGCATAACGCATATCCATCTATACTGCATCTTTTGTGCACGCCCTAAGTCATTTAACGCTCAAAGATAGTCTAGAGTTTATCCAGATCACTGCCGCAACTTATTTCTTATACATCAATAAGTCTTCCATAGCCTAACGCTCTTCAAGTAATTCTTTTTGTTATCCTACCCTCTTATTATTCTGGTTCTATTTTGTGCTGTTATGCACAAACACCTCCTTTGAGCAGATGAAGGTACCAAACCCAAACTGCTATCTATTCGAGAAATCTGAAAGATTAGCATTATTTAAAATAATTCCGTTGGTGCCTCATCTAATAAACCAGGAAGCAGCTCATCAGGGATGCTATAGGCCCAAAATAGACTTTCTAACCGTAAATCACAGGTCGCAACAGTATGCTTGTCGTTCAGTTAAAATCTGATGAATTAGTTTAAATCTGAATGGCTGATAACTTCATCCAATGATTAACTGATCAATATGCTTTTCTGATGAGAATTAGTTTAAATCTGAATGGCTGATAACTTCATCCAATGATTAACTGATCAATATGCTTTTCTGATGAGATCACATTCCTAATGTCCATCTACACAACTTCATCCAATGATTAACTGATCAATATGCTTTTCTGATGAGATCACATTCCTAATGTCCATCTACATGCAACATACTTAGTTGAAAGCTCTGATGAAATTCATGAACACTGGTTCGACCGCAAGTAAAGATTAAATGTCTTAATTTATGTCATCAATAAAGAATACACTATACAATTCTTTTGCACTCTAATCCTCGAGGCAATGCATGCAAGAAGTCAACAATCCTTTTATGAGACAACATTAGGTATTTCTTTCATAGTTCGATCATCATATATGGCTTGCGTCTGCAACTTCTACAGTTCAAGAAAAGAAAAGAAAAAGAGAGACGAAGATATGAACTACAGGCTGGCAATCGGGTAATAACTCACCGACAAATTCAACTGGGAAAACTGAACATTTCCTCGCAATTGTAACATTTTTATCAGGAGCACAAACCACTGCATTTGGAGTAATATGTTCGGTCTTATTAAACCACCACAGACTTGTCTCATTAAGAACCTGAAAAGAAGTACAGCATTTATAAATACCACCATACATCTTGCTCAATAACAGCAAAAAAAATGGTATTATTGACCAAAACAATATCTGAGAGAGGACATGGTGCATTAAGTTAAAATTAAATATTGTGAAAAGAGAAGAATACGGAGTATCGTGAATTATCAAAAAATTACTAAACCTAGCAAATCCAGCACAACCTGTTATCAGTTAATGAACTTCCCAAAAGTCTAAGAAACAAGCTATCAGCTTTCAAGGAAACTTTTTGTTCAAAGGAAAATATCACAACTTTGATCAAGCACCCATATAGAAAGAACTAACTCCACCAAAAGCCATCATCTTTGGCAAGAAAACAGCAAAGGAATCCCAAAAAAACCCAAAATTCAATCCATAACGAAAGAAAAAACACACACACAAATACCTGCCCTTTGAAAGGAATCGAAGCAAGAATCCGATCGAAAGCGCTCTGCCTATCCGTTGTCACCAGCACCAAGTGATCTCCCCCTTCATAAACATCCCTAACCTAAAAGTACAGGGGGAAAATTCAAAAATTCAAAAAAGAAAAAAACGATTAAAAAAGAACTAGCTCATTCCCGTTAAGAGAATTTACCTTCCCCTTAGCCTTCAACTTGAGCCCATCAACCGTGAGATCAAGGTGAGTCTCTGAAAGGCAATTGAATCTCGACTCCTTTGCAAGCTGAACAATCTCATCGTGATGGCGGCCGCTGAGATCGAGCGTTCGTGATTGAATTCGCGCTGAAATCGGCGAGATTGAAGAGGAGCTGCGGTTTTTGGGCATGAGAAGATTCGAGGGATGAGAGAATGGAGAGAGGAGCGAGGTTTTGCGAAGGGTTTTATTGGGGTTTTGGGGGCTCGGACGAAGAGAGGGAGACGTCATCGTAGCGAAATATCGAAGAGTTTGACGCCGATGATTCGTGAGCGGTGCCTTTTGGTAACTAGAGTGCAGGGTTTCGGGTCCGAATCGGGTTAAGTATTGGAAAATGGATCCGTTAAGAAAACAGGGAGGAAGTGATCGATAGCGGAGGTTAATTTTTGGCAAGAAGAGTTTTCTTGGTTTTGGTCTTACATCATCGCTTTTTTGAAATTAGTCTTCACGTTTTTATATTTTGATATTAGTCCTCAAAATTAAATCAATATGTTGATATTAGCCCATCTATTATTGTTTCTGTTCAAAACACCCAACCATGGTTAGGTTTAACCTAAACATGGCAGAGTAAATACCGAAATACCCACGCTCCACTAAATTCCCCAATTAAACGATGATCCCTCTCTCTCTCTTTCTCTCTCCAGCAAATGGTCCCCCCCTAATTGTGATGTCTCCCTTATAATCCGACTAGGCCTGTCCATCTGGACCGGGCCGAGCAAAACCTGAGCCCAGACCCGGGCCCGACCCGGGTCCTAGGCTCGGGGTCAGGATCCGGGCTGACCCAGATTTTTTAACCTTTTTTATTTTTTTAAAAATCTCTTTAATTTTTAAAATATACATAAAAATTACAGAAAATGCTAATAAAAACAATTATATTATTAATAAATTGAAATGACATAAATAACAAATACAAAAAATTATAAAAATGAAAGATGATAAAAATAATTTTTTTATTAATAATCAGTAAATCATTTATAAGTATAAATTTATTTCGGAATTCGCCGCATCACAATAGATGAGTATATCCCAACTAAGTTTTGGCACCTACTCACCTATATCACTATCATTTGCAACTGTTTCCAAAATAATTCATTATAAATTTAAAATTAAGAAATAAAAATTATAATTTGATGAATATTGTTTAATCTTTAAATCTATCTGCTAGGCTCAACTTTTTAAATTTATCTTCAATTCCAGTCATCCGATCGATGTCTTGCGTTCGCTTCTCGTATCTCCACCAATCTTGTAAGCACATTACTGCTTGTACAGTATACGGATCTAAGTATATCTTGTGGTCGTCGATCAAACGTTCTGCTGTACTGAAGGCGGATTCCGAAGCTACCGCCGAAACCTGCACTGCTAGTAAGTCACGAACCGTTGTGGAAAGTAAAGGATATGAAACTGATCCATATACTCTCCACCATTGCAATCAGGTAAATATTCATCTATTTCAGAAACCTCTAATGATGATCCAAGTTCAGATCCACCAGTTAGCTCAGCTACCATTGCATACCTATCAAAACTTACACTTTTACCTCGCTCTGAGCTCGAAGGCGCTGAAGCTGTAGATTGTTGTGCAGCTACATAATGTCTAGTTGCATACTCATCGTATAAGGTTTGAAAATAATTTCTAATAGTTAAATGATGATAAGTAGCAGTAAGGGTGGATCCATCATCTAAGTCTATAATCTGTCCACTATACAATGATTGTAACAAACTTCGAATGGCAATATCCTTCAAACATAGATCAATAAGAACCCCCAAACCAAAAATATGAGGAATAGGCCTAAAATACTTATTAAATTTACTCTCCATTTGAAAAATTATAGCTCCAAAAGCATCATTCATACGATATTTATTTATTTTTTAAATATTTATAATTTGTAAAGCACTAAAGTAATAGTTGGATAATAACAGCCAGATAATAACATTGTAGCATCATAAAAAACTTGTAACATCTCTTTTAAATTATTGGATAATAACAGCCAGATAATAACATTGTAGCATCATAAAAAACTTGTAACATCTCTTTTAAATTACATATAATTGTCCATTCATTTTCAGTTATTCCATAAGTGCTACCAGAGCTAGAACTAGAAACATAATAATTTATTCGATTCAGTATTTCAATAGAACAAACAAGCCCACTAATAGCTTAGATAGTGGCCCTTCCACTTTGGTTTTGATCCCTTACTACTTGAGACTAGGAGAATCCAGACTTTTTGCTTGATTGCTTGGTCCGACAATACAAGGTCTTCAAGGAAGAGGCAGCCTTCACCGATGTGAGTGACTGGACACCACATCTCGACCAGCTCGTCTCAACGGAGCGAAGGCCTCCTCAGCCTTACTGTTCTCCTAGCCGGTGTAAAAGTAAGTGCTCTTTTCCCACCCGACATCATCTAACTCGAATGCCGCTTTCTAGTATAGAGCCTGACTAAGTTTAGCTCATAATCTTTTCTCAGACTAGCTACGCTCACGAAATCCAGCTCTGAACCCTCGAGGTCGACATAGTCCACCGGCAAATGAGTCTTTTTCTATTTTTACATGGAGGCTATTCGAGACCTTAATACCACCTTAAGTCCGGAGGTGGCTAACGTGGTCGTTTATAATTTCTTTATATTCTATTGCCACACTTAACATTGTATATGTGGAATTCCACCTATAGTCAATATCTTTTGGAATTAGTCTGGGCTTATAATTTTTTCTTTTGCAAAATTGTTTCTTTTAATTTTTTGTTCAGAAGCATTATGCATATTAGCAATTGTTCTAACATTTTCTATCATGGGTTTAATTTCAGTAAATATACTTTGAACAATTAAATTTAAAATATGATAAATACATCTAATATGAAGAAGATCACCATGACATGGCAATGACAGAGTTGTTTTGATAAAATCAACAGCTATATTGTTATTACTTGCATTATCCAGTGAAAGAGAAAATATTCTTTGATCAATTTCTAGTTTTATAAGTTCTTCAATTATTAAATTTGTAATATTAATATCATTATGTGACTCTTCAATTGCAATAAAGGAAACAACTCTTTTAAATATTTGCTAATTTTCATCAATCCAGTATGTTGTGATACATAAATAACCATTTTGTGCTCGAGATGTCCAAATATCAGAAGTTAAAGAAAATTTACAGTTTAAATTTTTAAAATAAGAAATTATTTTTTATTGTTCCTCCTGATAATGTTTTAAAATATCACGTTGACAGGTTTGACGAGAAAAATTTATAAATGCGGGATAAAAACCATCTTTAAATATATCTTCAAATTCATCATCTTCTACTAATTTAAAATGAAGGTTTTTAAGAATGATAAACCTGATTACGTATTTTCTGGCTCGGGTAGCATCATAATTCTAACTGCCGAGACTACCAGAAGAGGAGGATTGAGAAATCATAGATTGTCGGATATCACCTTGAGGATTCTGGCCTTTGTTGTATTTTTCTATATAGCATTTGAGGTGGTTGGTGCTGCTCTTATGATGAGCTTGGAAAGTCTAGCCGTACAACGCACATTTAGCCTTCTGGGTGAAGATCCTACCGTGTTCATCCTTGGTGACGTCTATCTTCTTAAAAAAATTCCACACATCGGATCTTGGCCTTTTAGGAGCTCTTGGTGCAGATTCGTCGCCACCGGATTCGGGATTAATACCGGTAAAATCAGTAGAAGTAGCTGTTGTAGGAGGACTCATTTTAAGATCTGTAGGAGATAGGTTTTGCTCTTCATAATTAGATTCAGAAGCCACTTGATAGAAGGATTAGAAAGTATAAGAGATTATTAGAGAGTATAAGAGAGTATAAGATTGTATAAGAGAGTATTAGAAAGAAGTAGATGAGTTTTGGTGTAAGGAAAAGAAGTGAAAACCCCTCTCTATTTATAGAGGCAGCCTCCTAGGCAAATGACCAAAAAACCCTCATAAAATAGCTGTCTTTTGACCGTTTTAGGGGCAAAACGGTCTAAACGGCCAATATGACTGTTTTGGCCAGGCCGGACCGGGCCGGCTATAACGGTCACTTCCGTGACCACTTTCGCCAAATGATCCTGTGACCATTGCGACGGCTCGGACTTGCCCGCCAACGCGTCACCTAGGGTGACCGTTGCGGCCGGGCGGGCTCTGAGTCCGGGACCGCCCGGCCTCGGTTTTCTATGCTCGGCCGGCACTGTACCGGCCTAGGCCCGATGCCAGGTTTTATTACCAGGTCGACACTTGTACCAACCCGGGCCCGGCTGTCGCCGTTCGAGTAAGGGCTGGGGCCCGCGGCCCCGGGCTGGGCTCGGGCCGGCGGGCTTTTTGGACAGCCCTAAATCCGACAATTAAGTCTAAGAATACCTTAACATTTCACCATCTATTCTAATAAGTCCCTACGTTTTTTATTTTGCCAAAGCAACCCTCAACATTCAATTTTGTTGTCTCGATAGCCCCTGAGTCAAAAGTAATTCATTTTTGTTAACACAATTGAGGGTTAATGTGTCAAACAAGCTTAAATCAACATTTGAGACTTTCCCCCCTCCAAATTAGGGTTCTTGCTTCTTGGTTAATTGAGTTCTCATGCTTCTTGGCCAAAATTTGACCTTGAATTTTGTTATGGTTTTGTGTTCTCATTAGGGGTGATAAACTGTATTTGTATCCGAGGAAATATCCGTAACCGTATTCGTTAGGATACATATATTTGTACTCAAATCTATAACCGATAGGATATGGTTACGAATATAGTTTTGTAGTGAAATATCTGTATACGTATCCGAAATATCCGAATACATGTTAGTCATACTCTTGCGATAGTTTTGATTCTTAGATTATGGATTTGTGATTAATTTTGATGATTAAGATGTCTAATCTTAAATTTTCAATTATAATGAACATATTAAGGAACTGTTTTGTATCATATGAACTATGTTTTTCTCCATACTATCTAGTTTTCTCATATCCGTTTTGTATCTGCATGCATATCCGCTCATATATCCGCATGTACATCTGTAACTGTATCTGAGTCTAGCAGATATGGTTATGAATTTTCCTTACCGAGATAGACCAATATCCGTATCCGAGATGGGTAAACGGATATGGATATGGTAAGCCTCATATCCGAGCCGTATCCGGACCGAGTGCACCCCTAGTTCTCATACAGAGAAACATGGATCTTCATAGTTAGTGATGGTTGTGGTAAATGGAAGCGCATGGGGTTTTTGCTAAAATAAGAGAGGTACAATTCATAACCTATGTACTTCCGATACTTCTCAATTTTGGTCTTCTTCTAATTGTTCTCTATTATTCAAGGCGGAATGGTTAACATGGGATCTTTTGTCCCCAGAAAATAGTGTCCAAGTGAACAAAGCAATTGATCAAAGTTCACGCTGAAAAACAATTTTAAGACAATAAACACATAGCAATATCCATATTAGATATGGATAAAAGAATTCTCTAATAGGAGTAGAAGGATAATGATAAAAAATACATGATATTATATGTGAATAAACATGAATCTACTTACTTAACCAATATGTACATAGCTATTTGATTTCAATAATGCAGTAATGGCCTAAGGTTTGATTTTTACGCAAAGAAACATCTCATTACTTTCCAATAGAGCTCAATCTTCTCGTGACAGTTCTCTAAATAAATAAAGAAGAATATTCGCTGATATATACATGAACCAAAAAGAATGATCATATCATATCATATCATATCATACTCTCTTTAAAAGTAGGAGTTGGGGAAAATCTTTCTATGATCAATATTACCCTTAACTTTTTTAAATATTATATTGTTATCCTAATCTATTTTAATTTTCCTATCTTCTTTAAATTTATAATTAAATGATTTATCTTATCCATAATGAGACTTAACATGTTATTGGATAAAGATGATATGTTTGATATAATTTAAATCTTTTATTTATTTTAGTTTGCAGAGAAATATAAAAAATATATGCTAGCCAGCACCTAAAAATTTTTGCACCTTGTAAAAATAACCTTCTAAGTTTTTAAATTACAAAAATACCCCTATAAATTCAAAATTTTATTAAAACATCTTAAAAATTATAAATTTTACTTATTTCAATTCAGTGAAAAATCTAAAAAATATATGCTAGCTAAAAATAAAAGTTTTTGACATTGGAGAAAGTATCTTGTAAGTTTTGAAAAATACAAAATACTCAAAATTTGTAAAAAAACACCTTAAAATTTTTAAACCTATAAACACACTAAAAACCTACAAATAACACAAACAACCCCCAAAAATTTATAAAATTTGTAATAAACACTCTAAACTTTTTATAAATTGTAAGATAAAACCCTTAAGATTGTAAAATTTATAAAAATCTTAATAATTTTTAACCTAACAGTACATTGGAAATATAGGAGATACAAATATCCCTTGCATAATATATAATTTATAGAAAACACCCTTAAAATTTTAAAAATTACAAACAAACACTCAAAATTAAAATTTTATAAAAAACATCCTGAGAATTTCAAACTCATTAGTAAATTGAAAATATATGAATTATAAATAGTCTATAAACAATTTACAATCTATAGAAAAGATCTATAAGTTTAAAAATTACAAATAAACTCTAACATTCATAATTTATATAAAACATCATGAGAATTTCTAACCAATAGACACTAAAATGAATATACAAAATTACTAGAAACCCCTAGAAAATAAAAAAATTTACAAAAAATATCATACTCACTTTAAAAGTATAAAAGTATAGGCTTATGAAAAATTTTTCATGGTCAATATTACCCATAAATTTTTTAAAAAGAACATAACTAATTAAAAATCTATTAGATTTAAAATTTACTAAAAAACAAACTTAAAGTTTAGTACATTGCAAATTACCCCTCCAAAGTTTGAAATTTTTTTAAAAATTTTTGTAGTTCCTTGATTTTAATATAATTTTTAATAGTTTTGTGTATTTATAAATATAAAATTTTAGGGTGTTTGTTTATACAATTTTAAAAACTTTTGAGGGTATTTCTTTCATAGTTTTTTAAAGTTTCATTATGTTTTTAGTGTAATGCATAGATACATCAATTAATAATGATATTGAAGAGTAGGTCGTTCTTAAGATATATTAGGCTATAGTTAAGTGTGCACATCACTATTCCTAGGCAGTATAGTTTATACATGCAAAATTTTTAAACAATCTATATAGTGGTTAAAAGGTTTTTGACTTTAATGTAATATTTTTTATAAATTATATTTAATGTGAACCACCATATAATTTTAATTATGGTCATTATAATTTTAATACGTTTAATCGATTAACTATATAGGTATATAAACTATAGATTACTTTACTTTCTCGCATGAACTAATATTTGGCACTTAATAATTTAAATTATTACTTTTAAATTATATTTATTTATTTACCTATAGGATAATACAATTTTAATTCCTATTTTTTGCTTGAGATTTATTTTATAATTATGCGTATCAAATTAGTAACTAAAATAATAATTATTTATGATTAAATTAGGATGACTGTAGTTGGTTACTCGCTATAAAATTTTTATGAAGATATATATCTTACTTTTTATAGCTCTTTGCACTGCCCATGTATATTAAATTTTATTATAATTTTGAGGGTTTTATTTTATAATTCGTAAAAAGTTCAGAATATGCATTACAAATTCCATAAAATTTTAGGGGTTGTTTGTGTTATTTGTAGGGTTTTAGTATGTTTATAGGTTTGAAAATTTTAAGGTGTTTTTTTTTTATAAATTTTGAATATTTAAGGGTGTTTTTATAATTTTTAAAATTTACAAGATATTTTTTCCAAAGTCAAAATCTTTTAGTTTCTAGTTAGTATATGTTTTTCAGATTTCTCACTAAATTGAGATAAGTAAAATTTATAATTTTCAAGATGTTCTAATAAAATTTTGAATTTGTTGGGCCGTTTTTGCAATTTAAAAAACTTAGAGAATATTTTTTATAAAGTTCAAAAACTTGTAGGTGCTAGCTGACATATGTTTTTAGATTTCTCTACAAACTAAAATTAGTAAATGATTTAAATTATTTTAAATCCATTCTATTTTATCCAATAACATGTTAAGCCTCATTATGAAGAGAATAAATCATTTGGTTACTAATTCAAAGAAGATAAGATAATTAGAATAGATTATGATAACAATGTAATATTCAAAAAATACTAAGAGTAATACTGACCTTAGAAAGATTTTTTCGAACTCGTATTTTTAAAGGGGTATGATATGATCTTCTTCCTTCCCCTTTTTACCCTTCGAACAATACTCCGAAATGAACTTAAACTTAAAATTCTCTTCCCATCCCCTTCTTTGCCCCCATCCAAACACAAAGCAATATATATCATTACCTTCCTTGAAGACCGATGAAAGATGATAACTTTTGGTGGATGTGTCCTTGATCGAAGTTGGGATATGCTTTACCTAAATCATAAGTTTCCATGAAAAGAGTTTTGGGAGAACTGACAATAGCATACGACAAATATGCTTTAGGGCTCAGCAATTGTTTTGATTAATGTATGTTCTTGACTTCTTGTGCATTTGGGATTATGCTTTATATTTAATTTAAAGATATTATTAGTACAAGACTAGATTGTGAAATAGATTTAACATTTTATTGATTTAGTACAAGGATTTATATTTTAATTTAAAGTGTTATTACTAGTATTAGGAATCTAATTCAAATTTAGCGTGTTAATAGTTGTCTAAGATTGGGAACATGACTAAAATTTCAAGATCCAAATTCTAATGATACTTTGTGCTTGTCAATCAATGAGGGAAAATCCAAGCATAAAATTAGGGGATTGTAATCTCACTATCAGGATATTCTCCCTTTCCTTTCTTCTTCAATAATTTTACACTTATTATGAAAAAATTAATAAAGGTTAGATTTCTAATATATACATGCTTTAATAAAAAAAATAAAGGGTCTTTCTATAGAGTGCCCATGGGCACTCTATAAGAGAGGAGAGAGATAGAGAGAAGTGAATTGTCCATGGCCCTCCTAATTTGTACTAAATTCTATGGACAATTCACTTCTCTTTATCTCACTCCTCTCTTATAGAGTGCCCATGGGCACTCTATAAAAAAACCCAAAAATAAATAAATAAAACCAACCGTGGCCATCCCAAGCAATTGCAATGTTAAGAGCAACTCCAACCGATCACCATTTCCCCAAATTGACGCAAAATTTTCCCGTTTTCTTCCTCCAACCGATCGTCATTTTTAGCGCTATTTTAAAGTTGTGCTACAGTGTTACGCTAGGAATGGTGTAACACTGTAGATAAAGAGTTTTTGTTTTTTCCAAGTTTGCCCTTAAAGTTTGTTATAACAAATTAAATATTCCAATCATATCCCATTAAAAGATAAGAATGATAAAAGGAATATTTTTTGGTGTAAAATTTAGTGTAATGGGTTGGAGATAGAATAGTGATTTGGTGTAAAAATTACACCAACTTGGTGTAAAAATTACACTATTTTGGGTTTTGTGGTTGGAGATGCTCTAAGACCCTAGGCTTTTGGTAAGCTTCCACGTACAAAAGTACATCTTAGACGACTAATGACTGTCATTAGGTGTTTAATTCTCGTTCGAACTCCATTTTTGGTGGCCACTGGCCAACCTCCAGTTGGCAAATAATCTCTTTACAACAGGTCCCATCTCGCGCTCCTCACGTGACCCAAAACTCCGTACGTATATACTACACGTGTCGGCGAAATTGACTCGAGTTGCCGGGGACCATATCTCACGGCGTCAAATCTGACTCCTTTTCCTAATAATCTGGCCACGAAAGTTGTAACTTCTCACTCACCCCCGGTCACCACACCCCGGTGAAAATATCCGAGACCCTTCTCTTTTCCCGGAGACGTTCCGCTGTACCTCCATCACAACGTAAGTCCAGACAACCCCATGCACGTGACACGTCACGTCCGATTGACGAGCCAATTAGAATCCTCAAATGGACGGTGGACCAGGTTAGTTAGGCTCAATCTGTGGCCCACCATAAGTAGCGTGGGCCCCACGCGAGAGGAGAACACCAAGCCTTCAAAGCCACCGCGATCGCTGTCGAGTCTTTGCTCCCTCTTCGATCTACATCGTTCTCGAGTCGCGCTCCTCTCCGGTGACCTCACCGCCTTCTGGCCGCCGTTAATCTCGTAAAAATTTCCATGGTTTCGAGGGTTTCGCCGTTGATTTCCTCTCTCGATCACCGAAACCCTGGAAGCCCTAGAAGAAGATACCACGGTTTCCCCAATTCTAATCCCTAACTAATCTCTAGATTTCTGAGTTTCCTAATTTTAGGTAGGATTAGCTTAGATCGCCGGCGATGGAATCTCTGAGGCGAAAGCGAAAGGGGGTAAAGGCTTCGGCTGCGATCGGATCGCACTTGTCGGATAACGGCGATCATGGGAGAAAGAGCAAGAAGAAGTGCAAGTTGGAGTCTTGCGATGATAAACGCGGGATCTTGATGACGGCGCCGCCGTCGACGTCGTCGTCGCCGCTGTCGCCGAACCGCGGCCACAAGAGAAAGCTTGGGTGCATTGATTCGTCGACGCAGATCAGGCGGAAGAAGAAAATTGAGAATGAGTATGTTCTTGGGGCTTCGATCGGGCAGGGGAAGTTTGGGTCGGTTAGATTGTGTAGAAGTAAAGTGACTGGTAAAGAGTTTGCGGTGAAGAGTTTGAAGAAGAACGGGGAGGAGTCTGTACATAGAGAAGTTGAGATAATGCAGCATCTTTCGGGGCACCCGAATGTAGTTATGCTGAGATCGGTGTTTGAGGATTCGGAGAATTTTCATCTGGTGATGGAGCTGTGTAAAGAGGGTCGGTTGTTGGATAAAATGAAAGAAGGGAGGTTCTCAGAGCAGAGAGCTGCGTGTTTGGTGAAGGATTTGGTGGGGGTTATAAAGTACTGCCATGAGATGGGTGTGGTGCATAGGGATATAAAGCCTGAGAATATCTTGATGATGGCAGATGGGGCGATTAAGCTTGCCGATTTTGGATTGGCTGTGAGGCTTGCCAGTGGTAACAATGCTGAAACTCTTTGATTTTGACTGATAATCGCACTAAGTATGTAGTATTTGCGGTAACATATTGGTTGTTAGGCCAGATGGTAGATTTTCTCCATACGTTGCATTTTGCCGCCTTACATATTCAGTTGATGCTTTAGATCGCGCGGTGATACCTATTAGTTGCGATAATATTAACTCATTCTAATCACTTGATAAGTGCAAATTTGGTATAATTTTGATGTTGTCAGCTTTGAATTGCTTGATAAGCGCAATGTGTTAGTTTTTGAACTTATTCATGTTTTGATCTATCATTATGTTTAGTGTTTTATTCATAATTCACAGTTCATACTTGGTATTGTTAGTCTTAAACTTGGTGGGTTTTTAAAGCTCCTTAGCAGTGCTGCTTTCTAATTAATTCTATTGAATTATTTAAATGATTTAGCTACTTCTCACAATGTGGATTTTGGATCTCATAAAATGATAGCAGTTGTTATTTAATGGAATCTATTTTATGTGATTGTTAGCTATATGAAGCAAGATCGCAACTCACTTGATAACTCTTCTTCTGAAATATATATACTTTTAAGTTTGTGTGATTGTTTGGCAATATTAGTTGGCGATACAGGCTAGGATGTGAAAAGCCTAGCAACTGAAAGTAATCGAGATGATAGCTGCTACAAAGTATCTATTGAGTATCTGAAAAGCTCCTTGTGTTGTACTGCTGTCTTATTAAATCTATTGAATTATTTAACTACTTCTCACAGTGCAGGTTTTGCATTCATAGAATGATACTAGTTGTTACCTAATTGAATTTATTTATCTGACTGTTGGCAGTATAAAGCAATAAATCGCAGCATACTTAAACTGTTCTTCTGAAATGCGTCTATTTTTAAGTTGGTGTGGTTGTTTGGCAACATTATTTGGTAACACATGCTTGGAGGCGAAAAGCCTAGAAATTGCAACTAATCGAGATGATATCTGACGTGCAGGTCATATTGAGTATCTAGAAAGCTTGTAGGTTTTTCCCTGACTTTTGGTCTACAGGATTAGCAATTTACAGGTGGACTTCAAGTATTGTATCACTTGCTATAGTATAGTTAACAGTTACCAATTATATGAAGGATTCAAAAGGTAGTGGAGAGATGACTTTCCCATAATAGTTGATTGTCTATTGTATGGTTATGATTTGTCTCTGAGTTAAATTAGGAACTAGTGCAATTCATGGGGGTGGTGAGTGCTAGATTTAGAATAGATTCACAATCAGCCATTAAGAAATCAACAGCTGCGAACTTTGTAATGAAAAATATTGTTCTCTCAACTATTTTTTGACAGTGGAGAGCATCCAAATTCTTAGATATAGTAGACTCATTAAGTATTTATATTGGTGATTCATAGGACACTTCTCCCTATCAAAAAATGGTGCCATCCGTGTCCAGCACTTAAAAACATGTAAAAGCTTTATTAATATCAGAGATATATGTTATTCAATATGCTATGTCCTACATTCGTATCATTGTTTTGTAATGTAGGTTCATATTGAAGACATTTTCTAGGCTTGGATACAAAATGCTTATAACTGTAATATTAATCGTGAATCTAAAGATTATAGCTGACACGAAGTGTCTATGGAACATCTAGCAGGATTGTAAGTTTTGTCAGACTTTGCTTTACATTGTTTAAAGCTGCAGCTGCACTCCAAGTATAGTATCACTGCTGTACTTTAGTTGATAGTCACAGATCATATGAAATTGTAGATTCATGGAAACAGTTGCTATGTTGGTGTCATGGGAAAACTTCTCCCTACCAAATAAAAAACATAAATAAAAAAGAAATAAATAAATGGTGTCTGTGACCGACTCTTAAAATATGTAAAACCTCTATTCAATATTCATGCCTTATGTCTGTACAATTGTTTTGTAGCTAGGTTCTTCTTGAAGGATCTTTCGGACATGAATTACAACCTGATGCTTTTAGTTTTGTATTTTAAGTATACAGTTATGGAAGAAAAACAAACATGTAACTTCTCCATGTTGATTGAGAATCATAGCATCCAGTACTCCGTGTCCATGCCAAAATATGAGACTCCTCTGCATGTCTCACATTATATATTATTAAGGACATAATTGAAGCTGTTGGACCAAATTTTTGTTGAGAAGTTCTTGCAATAATTTATATCCTGTATAAGATAAGTTCTAACATGTTCACTTTTACCGAGAATAAGATGCAATAGTCACATAATTTAGGATATGAGATGAATAAGATATGAAGGACAATGCAATTTATTACAAAGAAAGGTTGTAAAGGTGGAGAGGAAATATAGTTCTTGATGGAATAAAATAAATACTTCAATAAATTTGCCTCTATTTCCATGCTGGAGGAATCTTATGATCCAAAGACTTGCCATAGAGGGAGTGTTGCGTGCATGTGGCTTGGCTTGTGGAACATGATGGTTTCATGTTCCATGGAAGCTCTACAATGGCAAGATTTTATTTGACCTAGTAGATACCAAGGCTTAAGCTGTGCAGGATTTTTTTAATTTTAATTTTAATTTATTTATTTATTTATTTTTGGTTTCAGCCTAAGAGGACAGCACAGTCAGACTGCTTGTTCTCTTATGGGGCTTCAGTTAGTCATCACTGTCTCTGCGTAGAGTTTTCACGTAAAGTTAACATGCTATATAGATTTTTAAGTTTTAATAACCCTGGCGTTGGTTTGGTGACTTATCTTTACTCCTCTCTCCTATGCTCGAATACTTGTCTAGATTGTGACCAATCTTATTGTCTTCATTGCCTTAGCAGATGAAACTGTCACGTGCTGACAATATGTAAATGTAATACTGAATTAGTATGATGTCTCCACATCATTAGTCTTGTCCTTAATTTATCAAATTTAACAGTTAATTTATTAGTGTTAGTTGCTTTAATAGGTGGCATATGTATATTAAAAATTTAAAACAACATTTGAATGAACAGAACAACCTATTTGTAGCTATGCAAAATAGCACAATAGTTCAAGTTATCGTGGCAAATAGATTATTTTCTATTTTTGCCCCCTTTTATTAGATTACTATTTGGCTTTGAATGTGGATAAAGAATGTTATGTCTACTAATTTGATATATCATTTTAGTTGCGTCAGTTAGTTTTCTTTTCTTCTTTTAAAGTTTATTGGACTGTCAGTTTATTTTACTTGTTTGGAGGTTCTTACTTCAGAGGGATCTATGCTAGTGACAAATCATCTGTTCTGAGTTTTGCTTTATAAGTGATTTTTGCATGTATCTTCCAGAATTTTTGTGACCAGTCCAGAAAATATCATCAGTTCTATGCTTGCTTTCATGCCGAGTTTTAAATCTTCCTTCAATCAAAATGCCTAATTGCCGAGTGACCTATTTTCCCCCAAAGGAAATCATAGTCCCTTGTGGTTTGAAATTGGGTGTGTTCGGAATTTGGATAGTAGTAGTTGGAGTCTCATGTACTTGCAACTATTTCCAAATTTCTAGATACATGTTTGCTTGATTGCTTTTCGGACTTCAAAATAAAAACAAAATGACTAAAAATTAGGAGTTGTGTTTGTGCTTGATTTGCTGGAATTGATGTTGTAAATGCATGAGTTATCACTGCAACTCCTAACGTAGCACACCTTATACTTGATAGGCTTTCTTGAAAGTATTCATATAGCCACTCTGGAAGTAGGTGGAATCCATGACACTTAAATCTCACTCCATATGCCAGATTTTTGTACAATAGAGTTCCTTGTTTATCTGACTGCTTTGGAAGCTCTGGAAACCTTCTAGGCGTAGGCATTATTTTAATGCATTGGAAATAGCCATTCATTTTGTTAACTGCTATTTAATGCGTATGCAACTGCATGATCCAAATAAAATATCCAGATGCTTACGCGTGTTTATCAGCGGTGAAAGGCGATTTAGAATCAAGCACAATATACTGAGGATCTTGGTCCTTCATATATTCTTTTCCTGAAGATGGGGAGTGCATACACATTGCTTAGCACGCAGATGAGCCTGGAGGATGATATAAGATCCAAAAGCAAACTCACTGGGTATGCTGGTTACAGTGTGATCACTTCTCAAGTAGTTTGTCTCTTGTGGAGTCTGATTTCTAGGAGTAGGACCTGGTCTAGAGCTGTCCTGCACCGATTAAAGTATAAAATGGTCGACTTATTAGGCTCTTTTTTCAGAGGAGTTGTCTTCACTTCTGATTAACTTGTCATTTTGGTTTAGTCTCAGTTGTCAAGGGCCAACTGTGACACGGTACATGGTAAATTACTTCAACACCATATGTTATGTGCAAATTCAAAATTATCTAATGGTCTATTCCAAGTATGTTAGCCATATGATGTATATTATGCTTGCTTATACTCAAGGTTAATTGGCTCTATTGTATCTTACTTTAGTCTTGTCTTTTTGGACCAAGAGAGACCTTATTGTGAGCATTGAAGGTCAAATATATACATTTGAGAACTTCTTGTGTGCAAGATATTCATAGTCCAATTTAAAATTAGGCACTGTATATGATCTAGTGGTCTTCACATATGGTTAACATTGGGGCTTAACCTTCTTTCCCTTGCACCACATAATAATCTATGTCTGTAGATTTGTCTTAATGTATATTTGAGTGACAATGACCTCATAATTTTAGATATTAGGTGCATTTTGGATTTGATAGTTGTAGTTAACCCAGAAATGATTCTTCATTTGGAATAAAGCCTCTGTTTGGGTTCTTGTATATTCTATTTTCAATTATCCATTATCTCTCAACTGAAGTTTTGCCTGTTCCATCTTTAGCCTTTGTTCATTTTTTTTATCGCTTTGACATGCAGGTCAGAAACTTTCTGGCATTGCTGGGAGCCCAGCCTATGTTGCTCCGGAAGTCTTAACAGGCCATTATTCAGAGAAAGTTGATATCTGGGGTGCTGGTGTCCTTCTCCATGCTCTATTAGTCGGTGTTCTTCCATTTCAAGGTGACTCATTGGAAGCCGTCTTTGAAGCAATTAAAACAGTTGAACTCGACTTTCATAGTGGCTTGTGGGAGCCTATATCTGACCTCGCACGAGATCTCATTGGTCGGATGCTTACTCGCGATGTCTCCAAAAGAATAACTCCTGATGAAATCCTAAGTATGTAAATCACACATTTCATCATGGATTTCATCATGTCATATATTCCAAGGGAGAAAGAGGAGAAGATGAAATCCCACAGAAAACAAGGAAAGAAGAAAATTGGGTAGATAATAAGGTCCTTCAATTGCAAGAAACAGTTTTTGGGGTTTTTTGGGGGTTTTTGCGGCGGAAGATCAAAAAAATTGTGGGTTATTTTAGAGACTTCAATGTTACGAGGGTTCTGTGGGAAAAGTTTTTGAGTATTAGTGGGAAAAATAAAGTTCAGGGCAGGTTTTGTGGGAAACACCTCAAAATTTTTGCTTTTTCCATTTTTATTTTTAAATTTACCATTTCTTTTTTTTTAACTGACATTTCTTATCTACGTACATTAAATTTTAGGACATCCATGGATTCTTCTCTACACAGAGAGCAAATCTAAGGCACTTCCTAGCAAATCCAAGACGAGAAGCAGTGCAATAGTGCAGAGGCTAAACTTTGCAGCACTTTCAATAACCAAGAGCTCATCTTCGTCATCATCTTCTTCATTTGGAAGTTCGGGTGATAAGTCTGAGGAGCAGGATGAGTATGGATTCGTCGATGCGCTTGCAGCAGCAATATCACGTGTACAAATATCCGAACCAAAGAGGAGTCGGCTTTGTCTCCAGCTAACCGGTACAGCAGGAATGGCTCATCTACATGAAGGCCAACCTCTGTACAGCTTTTTGACTCAAAATCTGACCTGGTGTAAAGCAAGTATTTCAGACGAGTCCATTGACATCTCCAGTAACAAGCGCTGCAGATGGTGGTTAATAATTCTTGTTGCGCCCAAGGGGAGCTGATTAGTGCATTGTATGCTGTGTTATAAGTAATAACATAACTTAGTCACCTTTCCTGTTTGTAAATTTTTGTACATAGCAGGATCTACTTCGAAGACTAATGACACCGAGGTTCCCCATGCTTGCTTCATTGCTGGAACTCAGTTTTGTAGAAATATTCCGGTGTCTAGATTGATGGTGTGCCCTGTGTACATGGTGAATTTAGGCGCTTAGTTCTTAGGTTTACGTTGGACGCTGCTTAAGGGGCTGTTTGGTTCCTTTTTTTTGGGTGGTAAAAGTGGGGAAAGTTGTTAAAAATGTTAGTTTTTTGACAGCTTTCCTTCAAAATCACCCCTTAAAATGATGATTTTGGGGGAAAGCTGTTAAAAAGCTGATATTTTTGGCAGCTTTCTCCTCTTTTACCACCCAAAAAACCTATCCAAATAGCCCATAAGCGGAAAGATTTGGCAATATACTCTGCTTGGCAAGCTGGAAACAGAGCCATGTGTTTTCTTGCCAAAGTGTCAAAGGGGTCTAGGCCCATGACATTAAAATGTGCGCCAAAGTGATGTTAGCTTTGCACGAAAGTGATGTTAACTTTGAGATTTGTGCATGGATCTAATAAATGATAATTTTTTTTTGACAAATATTTGATGTCATGAACTTTGGTCCACTGGACGCCTCTTGCATTTATTACATAATGTGGATTGTCGTGAGAAAAACTCAATTTCCGAACTTTAGTAACTAATTTTATTGGTCCTCGAGATTGGACCGCGAAAGTTAGATTCGGAAAAAGAATTTACTGAGTTGAAAACACTTTCAGAAGTTATTGACATCAAATATTTGTTTGTACGGTAAGCATTAAGTATTCTATGAAATTGAGGGGTATATACAAGAAGGAAAATGATTTAAGGAACCAAAATATGGGACCAAAGGAGGGGACAGGTGATGTGTCCCCTCCCTATTGCATAATGAGTTGGCATGGCCAACTCATTATGCAATAGAGAGGGGACATCTCATCTGTCCCCTCCCTTGGTCCCATATTTTGGGTCTCCGTAACAACACTCATACAAGAAATGAGTAGCTTCCAAAATCTATGATCAACACGTAGTTCATCGTCATTGCTAAAAGGAACATACTTTTACAATCCTAAATTTGGACAAATTTTCAAAACCGACCCATTTAGATTTTTATTCCAAAAAAACGACCTCATTCAAACAAAATTACAAAAACCGACCTGGTTTCAGCCTCAACGCTGAAACCAGGTCGGTTTTTTAAAAAAAAAATTTCGAAACTTCACGGGAGTTGAACGTGAAGTTGAACTCCCGTGAAGTTTAGTAGATCTGCTAAACTTCACGGAAGTTGAACTCCGGTGAAGTTTCGAATTTTTTTTTAAAAAACCGACCTGGTTTCAGCGCTGAGGCTGAAACCAGGTCGGTTTTTACAATTTTGTTTGAATGATGCCGTTTTTTGGGATTAAGTTCACAAATGGGTCGGTTTTGAAAATTCGTCCTCCTAAA